GAAATATGATTTTGACATGATTTAAATTTGAAATACGGAAATGGTTTATGATGGATCTTTTTTGTTAGAACAAAAAACTTCGCCTGAACAGAAAATAAAACTGGACATTTTTTAGGAAAGTAAGACATGCCAGAAGTTTTCATGGTAATCAATTACTTGGCCTCAATTGCCGAATGTCGCAATCATCAGAACAGAAAAACAGTCGCAGGAAAACCAAACCAACAGCTAAGGTAAAAAGCGGTCCTCACTAAATTCTTAAATAACTTAACGTTATTGTTGAAATTAATCCCTAAAAATTACTTCGGAGTGTTTTCAATGATGTAGTAACGACATTTTCACCGGAAGTACACATTTTCTAACCAAACTGCTATTTCCACCTGACTTAGCGAATTAGATGCCAAGCAGAAAGTTATTGTCATAAAAAAGTTCAAATAAGGAAGACTTATCAAAGCTATTCCGATGATTTCGACTAAATTAGACCAGATATCTATTCTCTTTATCTAAAAAATCTAACAATTTTTAACTTTTCTGTAATACATATTGTATGTATGTATTTCTTCGATTCATTGCTATTTGCAAATCGTTTCAGTGAGTCAAAACTGAGTCAAAAACTGGCGCTAGCGATAAGTGAATATATTCCACAGATATCGTGTAGAGAATACACCTAGTGTATTTTCTGTTGAACTCAAACAGATATAGTGAAGCATCTTTTCGATATCCCTCTGAATAACATTAGGTTAAGTTAGGTTTAGTAAGATCGGGGTTCACACTGTTAACATATATACAGTCCTTTGTAAAGCCAGACAAAAAAACTCCTGTAGTTGGATATCAGCTATCGCCAAAATCCTGTAGGCCTATCACAAATCTGCTTAAGTGTTTTATTCTTTTTTCGCTATTTCACTTGGTCTGAAAGTATGAGATCCGATGTATGTATACCTTGATCAAGCAAACGCGGTACGTTCGAGGAGGAAGTGTTGAGAAAATTGTAACTCGTATTATTCCAGACAGCTGCTGCAGCTGGCATCCGGTAATATTTTCAATCCTACCGCGTGAGTTCCGATCGGATAGTATTCAGTAAGAACTTCTTGCTGATAGCGAAGAGCTCCTTAGACCTCTTCCGTTTTACCTCAGGCCAGAAGGACCTTGCGACTGCACAGCTGCTGGTAGTTGACCAACGCTTGCTGAACTAGTCTGAGTGCAACGGTCCAGTAGCAAACTACAAGAAGTCAACGAAGCTCCTAGCCATTCTCATACCGCAGTTATTGATACTTAAGTACCTGTCCTAGACATCCCTTCACTAGGCTTGAGCGCACAGTTAACGAATTCAAGACCAATATCGCTGTCCTACTAACGGAGTGCATAGTCAAGACTCTGAAGGAGGCTACACTCCGGAGCAGCATAGCAGCATACTACTAGCTTTATGGCAACAACCTCCGCTTGGAAGACGTTACAGTGGTCAGGAAGCCTAAAACTGGAGTTGATGGAAAGTTCCGACAGCGTACTCCTTCTTCAACCGTCCCTGTAGGCTACGAGTAAATACGTACTCTGGATGGATGGAGGCAGTTACGACATTAGCCCGCCGGTCGATAATCCAGTAATGCTAAAAAAAATATAGTTTAAACGATAGTTTGTTAAATGATTACGTCTGCTTTTGCCACCTCTCTACATCATAAAATTTCTTAGTATGTTACTACAATATGGAAACTTTAAATATAATATAAAAAACAGCAAAAAAGTATTATTGACTTAAACTGTTTTACCTTTTTCCCACATAATTTGCTACCAACTATTGTGACCATTGACTAATAAAAAACTCAAATAGGTAATTAATCAAAGGCTTCCGCAAAGTCTTGTTTTCAAAATAACAACAAAATTGGATTTAGGAAAATTTTGAACGAAAACAAAGAGGAATACATCACCTTCAACGTCGACATAAACAACTCCCACTATTTAATTGTAAAGTGATGTGATACGAGTTTGGCGTTTTTGCAATAATCACACCACCTTGGGCCCTACTAGTTGCACGCACGGCAGCTTTAGGTGGCAAATATGCATTTGACGTGTACACGATAATAAATTGCTATAAAGTAGCTTAAGTTTACAATGGCAACGACCGTTGCATTTCATTTAAGCCACGCTTTAAAGCCATTTTCTTGTGTGTGTGGCAGCTTCGACCAGTGCATTTATTGTTACCTTCCGTGAGGGCGTCGCCATTTGATATTTCTATGCATATTAGTTACCTTCTTCAGCGATTTTTACTCGCACCTCGTGTTCGCTTATTTTTTGCTTTTTCCATATTTAATAACACTACAATACTTTAGCTTTTATTATGAATACATGAGTATGTTGAGTTGTTACTTTAGTGTTGTTTGTGCGATAGTTTCTTTTGTGCGCTCGTTGTGTCCGTCCATTGAATTGCAGTGACGTTCAAGCAATACCGTTCACAAGTGACCTTGCTATGTGGGCCGTCAAGTTTTGACTAATAGCATCACACACGAAACATCAGACATGAAACACCACACAAAGTTCCCTCGTTTCTGAGCAATTTTACAATGAATTTGTTAGTCATAATTATAAAATGGTTCTTGCAAGTGATTAGCAAATTTTGATGCCCTGGCACGTACAAGTATATGTGTATATATACCAGTACTACCCAAATGTATAAAGCTGGAGTTAACAATAGAAATGATATTTCAATGTTGTTAATGTAGAGCATTTAACTATAATTAGAAAATATATTTTTTTAAATGTTTACGGGTTTCACAAATATTTCTTTAAAGCGTATTACTGCTTTTCTGTCAGGTTGAAATACGAAAGTTGACTAAAACCCCAAATTATTTCGTATTTCCTACGCATCCTCTTTCTTTACAACTATCACATTGAATCTCTCTTAGTGCCAGTACTAGTATTTAGTATGTCTAGGTTCAGTTTATTCCAGAGTTTAACATTTTGAAGCGTTGCCAGTTCAAAAAGTACTTGCCTCCGTTTACAATGTGAATTTTGTATAAAAGAAGAAAAAACATTAACTTCGGTAGTCACGAAGATATAATACCCTTCACAAATACAAACGATTCCTTACGGTCAGGCAGCTATATACTATAGTGACTCGATCTGAACAATTACCGCAGAGATGTCACCATTGACTTGGACAATAACCCAAGCCAAATTTCATGAAGACATCTCGTCAACTACAAAAATTGTCCATCCAAGGACTGGGTTTCGATCGTTCAGTTTGTATGGCAACTATATGATATATGGGCGGATCTGACAAACGGGCATTTCTTGGTGAAGAAAGGAAAGTTGCCGTCCGATAACTTAAAAACTGATACATATAGACGGACATAGCTAAATTGTTACGATGATAATTTATATAGATACTTTAAAGGGTCTCTGATATTTCCTTTTTGCTGTTACAAACATCGTGGCAATCTTAATATACCCTGTTCAGGGTATAAAAATAATAAGCTATGTTTTTGATTAGTTACCATACTCTAGAATTTTTAAAAATCAGACATTTTTGCTTCGAGCCCAGAAATATTGTAAAAGCAAATCGCTCAGTTACTGACTGATTTCGATTTGGCTCCAATTTTACAAGAGATTATAAGTAGAAAGGCCTAGGGCTTTTATTGTGCATATTTTATTTTTTATAAACCTACGAAAGGCCTACGGTCAATCACCTGTATAGATGCCAATTAAATTTAAACCTCAGCATTAAATTTCTTATAAATTTCAGTATAAATAAAATAAATATCCCTCCACATAATTTTCACATATTTCTTTGCCTATATTTTTTTTTTTGGAAAAAATAATAAAATTAGATGATTTGCCGACGTTATTGGTTGTGTAATCACCAATGATATTATAATTTGGCGAAATTTCTATATTGATATTTGTGGTTGCGCTAAGCCAGTGAATTCAATCAGTTGTCAAATACCGGTAGTCCCTAGAGAGAGTTGGCAACGATAGTTGAACTGCCTGTATCTGAAATTATTCTAAAACCAATTATTTATAAACACTCAATTAATTTGACAAAATTCGCACTTACAGCCATACTGCTGAAGTTATCAAGGAGATAGTGTAAAAGTGTTGGCACTTTCTTCTTCACTATCTCACTTTCGCGAGTAGAAGCTTGAAGCAGCTTAGTTATAATGTTATAGCTTTCTTTCCGTTCGGGAATTATGACATAACATTCCATGAAATCCGCAATCGTATAGTTAATCAAGCCACATACAAGATTTAAAAATATATTTAAAATTTATTTTCTCGACTTAATATCTATCTTATACGAATATATGAACAATAATTACTCACTATATGTATAAATATCTTTATCTTATACGAATCTACAAAGGATTCGTTACTTACAATGCAGCTTATACCAATAAAAGTGACAAAACTTAAACATATAACCCACACCGCTCTTTCTTTTATAATTAAAAATTGACTTTAAAAAAAATTACTCGTATCAGATTATTTATGGAACACTTTATCCATCCACACTCAAACCAAACATATTTTTACAAACGCCTATTAACCACAATTTGTGCCGGCCTTTATTGCGATCTGGCAATGCCTACAAATACGACCTTTAAAATTAAATGCATATGTATTAAGTTCAGCGTCATAAAATCCATTTAATTAATTTGTATGTATGAATGTTAAATCTTCAAATCGCCATTGCAATTAAATTTAACACCCTTTTTCAGAGTTTGTCTTCTTCTTCTTCTTCTACTTCTATTTCTTTTTCTTATTTTTATCATCTTCTTTGGCATTTTATTTTATTGTATAACCAGCTGTCCAGTTCTGCTTTAAAATATCATTGTAATTAATTAAACTTCTTTTTACTCTTCTCTATTTGCATTGCCTTCGTGGTTTGCCCACTTGCGGCCGATTCACACATCACTATTTGCTGGTGTATTGGTGTGACTTGATTTGGTGGATCACTACTATTGCTGATGTTGTTGCTGCTGTTGGTGTTGCTGTTGATGCTGCCGTCACAGATTGTCCGAACTGTGTGGACGAGTCTCAATACAATAACAAATGGACAATGCCTTTGCTCAAACTGGGCGAGAAGCGTTACTACCTCGGCATCTTCTTCAAGGTAAGCCAGTTTCCGGTTCTGTTGAATTTTTTGTATCAATATAGTATATACTGCATATGTAAGTGTTCTCAAATTTAACTGCTTCTCCGTGCTTATATGTACACATACTTGTATATATATATATATATATATATGTATATAAGGTCGTGCAAACTGTGCCTGAGCTTAAGCACGTCTCTCCTCCAGCTCCCCAGCTATAGCTTGTAACTTTGCACGTGTGTTGAAAATCTGTCAACGGCATTTTTTCGTTTCGCTTGTGCATTTTTCTTCTGATTTTTGCATTTTACAGCTGCCAAGTATTGCACTGAAATAATAATAAAGCCATGGGAATTTTGCAATAAAATTTTGTAGTCTGACATTTAAACTATATTTTTCATGAGACACTCAGACAGACTAACGGTTATTGCTGTACATATGTTAGAGATTTGCATTGTAGCTAATGCAAAGAGTAAATAAATTTTAGAATAGCACATTTGTTGCATCTTTTGTGGCGATTTGTACGAAGCTGTGCAAAATCATAGGCGCTGCGGGCAATGCAGTTGGCTTTTTATGAGCCATCAAACAAAAATGTGGGCGGCGTAAATATCGTGACTTTAAGTATATCTCAAATAAATACAGCTTATTTAAGTGCTTAAACTCTCATGATTTAATTGCAATAAAATTATTATTTAAGGCATCAATTTAATGGGGCGCTTTGAACATTTTTCATGTTTTTACTACAGTGTGCTATAGGTAATCAGTTACCTGCAGTGCAGACAGGGCAAATATATATTCGTTATTTATGGGGCACAATTATCTTCGATTACGCTCTGTTGGCTTCGCATAACTACCTACCGTTAACCCATTTTCTCTGATTTCATGTGAACTGTTTACATAACATTCCTCATTTAGAACGAAACAGATAAGGGCATCGGGTCATAGTTTCGAGGTGGACTGTTGCCGACCCAAAGGTCGCCCCAGCTTATATCGTTCTCATTTCTGATCATCTCTGAAGCCGGAGCAGACAGGTGTGTAAAGTGTCTAACAGAATAATCACGGAATATTGAAGCAATCTTGTCTGCACCCTAACACACATCCCAACAATTTCACTCCTTGAGAATACAGTGGCTTCTCAACGAACTTGTTTGGGGTTTCCTTGTAATCACAGAACTTCATGTAAACTTCTGCAATATTTTCTATAGAGATTCCAGTGGGAAGCGTTTCGAAAGCAAAGCGCTGTTGCCGTTAATAACCTTATGAAAGATATTTAGTTAGATAGATGCAGGGTTTCGAATTTTCTAATTAAAAAATTTTGGATTAAAAATAAAATAAATCAGAAATTTTATATTGATGAAATTATATATATTAAGTTTGGCACGATATTTGTAATACGCAACAGGAAACGTCAAAGACCCTATAAAGAACCTTAGTATATAGCTGCCATATAAACTGGCCGATCACAGTCCTTGTAAAGAATCTTTATAAGGGGTATTATAGTATATATAAATTTGAGTAAGTGATACTTTCTTTTGTTTTTCAAATCAAAAGCTGGAATAAAAACGTATGCAAAGGAAAGATTTACATATATCGAATTAAAACACTATAATTAAAGTACAATAATTAAACGCAAATAAGACAAAGAAATTTTATTGAAAATAAGTTTCCTCTTACAAAGTCAACCAATATGTTAGATAGGTACACAACAGCGATATATCTTAAAATTCAAAAACACAATTTTTGAAATATTTAATTATAAAATTGCTATAACATTTGTTTTTATTTCCAATCCAGTATTTAAAAATAAAGTTGAGATTTTTAGTTTTTAATCTGATTTTTGGGATATAACAGTTTTTAATACGATATTTATGATTAGAAATTTGAAAATTACTTTTGATTAAGATTTTCGACGGATACATATCATTATAAAAAACAATGCATCACTTTGATTATATGCATTTAGCATAAAAGCCTCAAATTACATTATATAAGCATAAGCTAAATAAAACAATAAGTAATAAAAATTAAACACGGATACAATGCAAGTCAAGACTCACTTGACTGTTTTATATAAAATTTATAACTTAAATATTTATTACTTTCTTGTTTGAAAATCACGAAAATCTTGTTATTGTCTCAATTTAAAAAAAAAATCACTTCACTTTGGTAATCTATGTACCATGATCTTATGGTAAATACAGATTTATTATATACACCATAAAATAGTGCCATTAAAACAGAATTAAATGAAAATTTTACATACGACCATGAAATAGTATGTTTAGAAGCAAACTAATTATTATAATGTATTTGTAATAAAAATTTGAGGTCTTTCGTATAACCAAATATTTATGAACCATATGTCTGACACGATAAATAAAGGCCGATATCTTTAGAGTGACAGCTATTTGGATCAACTATATTATATTATATTCTTTTGAAGTTTATGTCTAAATTCCGAACATATGCATATTTGTATGTAGCCTATCCGGTATGTATATACCAATAAGAATAAAACTTAAATTATTTAATTAAAGTATTCTTATCTTCGCTCGTAAAAAACTTATTCCAACAAAATATTTAAAGCAGCTTAAAACCTGCTTCAATTTAATATATGCGTGCTATCACCAAAAACCCCCACAACTTTTTAGTAGAATATAGTAATTAGTTTGGAAGTAAAATTTTCATTTAATGGCACTCTCTTATGGTCACTGTGGAAAGTTGATGCTGCGTGAGGTCACAATTTAGACAAAGCACCAAGTCACGAATTAATGATATTGATGGACAAAATGCATGAATTCGACTTCGAATTGCTTTCCCATTCACCGTATTCTTCGGAACTGCCGTCAGTGATTTTTTTCTGATTTACGGCGACGGTTCCCTAGAGGAGAGTTTTTTAGTGACCTGCAAGTGGCACATACCATTGCTGTGACGACACAATGATGATGCGGAAGGCATTTTTCTCAACCTCCCCCGAAAAAAAAAAAAAAAAATTTCAAAGCTAGCATTTACACAATACCCCACAAGCAAAGCTTAGATATTCTCATATCGTGTTTCTACATTCTTTCCAACTGGTTTTTCTGACAATTTAAGTCTTTTAATTTTAAAGTTTATAACTTTAATGTATTTTTTTACATATTAACACGTTTTATTTTGAAATTTGAATAATATTAATGTTTCCTTGTAGATATTTGAATTCGCTTCGATTCTAATTTATAAAAATGGAAAGTACTCAACGAGAGTTTTCTAGAAAAGTTTTTTCTTATAAGTAATGTTAGGGGATTTGACGATATTAGTCTGTAATTCTAAGTTGTTGTGATTTTCTGAATTATATCTTTTCCAACTTGAGTAAGTTTTAGAAAATTATTTGTAATCACTTAAATTTTGAGCAGGAAGCTCAAAACAGATAAGAACTTCATATCTAATTGTACGATTTCTCAACAAATTTGATCAACATGAGACATGATTAGGACAAACAATTTATTAAAAAGGTCAAAGGAATTTATATGCGGTCTGACAGCTATAAAAAAGAGTCATTACTTCTTTGGAAAGTATAACCCAAAACTGCAACTATTCTGTAACAGTCATTGCCGTAGCTTTATACTCAAGGTTAATGTGGAAAATGTCTTTCATTTTCTCTGACACTCACTGAAATTTCACACTCACTCAATTTTTGCTAGATATCGGACTTGCATACACTATCAGATATCAAACCCAAAATGGTTATTCACCAAAGGCATATCTGAAATAAGCAGATTTGCAGATTCCTCAAGAGTAACAGGTGGTTTCAAAACTGTGATAAATCGTGAAAAAGGGTAGTACGAAGTCAAATGACAATGTCTTAAAATATGGCCTCTAGCGCTAGATCGGTGCGAGTGTGTAAACTTTAAAGAGCACACTAACCAGTCAACTATATATGCGTATCTGGGTAGCTGCTTACGTTCATATGCCTGTATTTAAGTCAGCTTAAATATTGATTAATTGTTTCGAAAAACACACACATTAATTGTGACACTCACTCAAGTTGAGTTCACCTAATTTTAGTATAATTATATACTTGTAATACTTAAAAGAAGTGATTGTGACCAATTTATAATCTTTATATTAATTTATTTAGTGTTTAGTTTTTTTTCTTTTGTGTCTGCATTTGAATTCGACTTTATTTATGTCTAATGCATTTCTTGTACAGTGACAAATTGCAACTTAGTCGCTATTTGCAATAGAGTTTGTATAAATAAGTAATTAGTTAGGCAAATTACTGATATTAAGTGGCGCGTGTTGTTCAAGTAAATATCGCATTAAGGCGTTTCGAATTAAGTCGAAGATTTGTGTGTCAATTCTTTTCCCCTCCTCATCTATTATGCATGAAAAATGCATAGATTTTATTAGAAACGACGAAGTATTTACGCTTTCGCAAACAACAATTAATATTGTGACAGTTAAGTCACCGCCAACTGGCAATAAGTCAAGCGGCTATAATTGATCGTAAAATGAGTAGATAATAAGCATTTGCGACTGTTGAAATCAATCAGACACTAAATCAGGCATATTTATATACTATATGTAGTATTTCAGTGTTCGAAAGATCAGTTTGTTTTTATAAAGTTATTTCTTCTCTACCAAAACCAATAAATTAACGATTAAATTTTACACATTTTTGACTGCATAAACAAATATTGATTATGACTAATCAAATTGAAAAATACCTACTTTATGCCATTGCAACTTTTTAAAATTCTGGTTATATTTTCATTTTTTTCATTTGACATGGGGTTTGGAAGCCTTAGTTAGGTAATAATGCTCATATTTTGTATACTCATTTCATACAAATTTCAATGTTTAAAACACTTACGAGCTACTTAGTTAAATTAGAACATCTTAAAATAATATAATAAATATATATAGGAACGATGAGGCTATGAAATCAATTCCCTATACATGGAAAATATATTGATATTTCATGATCGGAGCATGTTGCAATCCGTTGGTTTAACTTTTTACAGGTGAAAAAATTGGACAATGGG